AGGCATTCGGTAACTTTGAACGTCAGGCTCATACGTGAAATCGTTGGACGATGTGTCTACAACTTTGATAGTCGTAGGATTTATGACTCTTTGAAAATAAAAGAAATCGTTTGTGAAAAGAACGTTATACGACCTTCGACGAAAGTCCTGGTCCGCGCGACTTACGCCTGTTTCGCAGTCCTGAAAGAAGGATGCATGCCACTTTGATTTCAGGCGCGAGCGTCTCTCAAAGCCGTAAGCGGCCCTGAGTTTCGCCGTCATCTAGTATCCTCTAGATAGAAGAGGAAACCAAGGAACGGAATGAGGGAGAGAGTAGAGGCAGCAGTTCGTGGCAGCCTGGAGAGCGAACCATCCATCACGGATGGCTCAAAGCCGTATCTTCTAGTAACCGGTGCCCGACGGTACTGGATGCCGCATCGTGGCCAAATATTGTGAAAGGTCCAGAAAAGGCAGCAACGTGAAATAAATTTGCTGCGCCGATGTGAGATGGAAGACGGCAGAGCAGAGGGCAGAGGGAGGAAGAAGTGAAAGAGAGAGAGAGAAAGGAAGAGGAGAGAAGCAATAGAAAAAAGCGAGAACACTGGTTTCCCTCCCTTCTGGTCAGCTCGAAACGTTGCGTCTTGTACTTGTGCGTGTCAAGATGGAGAGAGGAAGAAGGCTCTTTAACCACTGTCGGCTCTTTGAACCTTGCCGATCTCCCTCGCGTTCTCTCTTTCTCTCTCTCTTCTCTTCTATCTGCCTCTCTTTCTCTCTCCCTTCTTCTCTCTCATCTTTTCGTGCCGCCTCTGCCCAGCGTGCTATCATTTTCCTTCTCTTTCCATCCCTTTGTCTCTTTTACCTTCAATGTCTGCTTCGTGTTCGTATACCCGTAAATGTAAAATATCATTTTCGCAAATGAAAATATTGTTTATTGTTCTAGCCAATTATTGCCCCGCTTTCATCAGCTCGATTCATGTCGAGGAATCTTCTTCGTTTTCTTTTTCACTGAAAAACACGCGTCAAGTTTTTGCATAAACTGTCTGTCTGGCATACATTCGCCGACGATCGATTCAGAAGGGAATCTACTGTATCCTCCAGTAGATGATAGCGCTTGTCCAATAATTGAATCTTCACAGTGCGTTATAACGTGAAGCGGCACAGCGCTTTTTGCACGCACGTTTTTTCGAATATACGGGACTCTAACTCGATAGCTACGTAATAGCTTTACAATGTTCTTCGCTACAACTTTACAGTTTATATCAAGGAACGCCGAGACAGGCCATTTTGCCGCAAGAATGGCAAGATTATGAAAGAACAGGTTGATCGCGCGAAGAATTCGTCAGAAGGAAATTGTCGTTGTTATCAGTTTTGACATTCGATGTCACGATGAATGCCAGAGTCTGACTCTTGAAGGAAACACGATCTTGCATCTTCGAAGCCGCTATCCTTCTGTTCTGCGCTGACGCTTGTTAACGCAGCAGCACCTTGACCGTGCTCTCAGCCCATAATTTTCTCCGCGAACGTCACGGATCCTCTCTCGCTGGTGGATTAATAATCTAGAGTGGTCTCTCTCTCGTTCTTTCTCTCTCTCTCTCTCTCTCTCTCTCTCTTTCTCTCTCATAAGGAGCGAAAAAACGATACGACGTGAGGGCAGCGTTAGAACGAGGGGCCGATAGGAGGACGCGAGCGGAAGAAAGAGGTGGAGGAAGAGAAAGAAAGCTGGATGGAACGGAGGAATGGAGAGAGAAGAAAACGTGGAAGGGTACACACAGCGATCGTAGCTCGTAAGTTAGCACGTGGTCGAGTCAAGCCGTGCGAAGGAAACCGAGAAGCGGGAAAGGAGAGGTGGAACGAGTCAAGCGGGCTCACTACCTCATCTCGCTTCTTCAACCACTGACGTAGATGGAATTCTAAGTAGCCCTCGTGTCGACGCGATCTCAGGAAGCCTTGTCGTAGACGTTATCGGCTGTTTGCGATAATTCACGATGAGTAACCGGAGAGAAGACGAAATAACGCTAGATCGCTAGATCTGATTGTGTCCTTCTATTGCCCATATTTCCTTTTATTACTTGATCTATGGTCTCATATAAACTTTTGTCTTTCATCGTTGATTTTTTCAGTTTTTAATAAAATGTACCAATCACGTTTTTTTGTAAGTTTACGCCTATCAGTTCGTTTATCATAATCCCTTATAGAAGATGCTGTATAGTAG